GGCCGAGCAGGGCGCGCTGGCCGCCGCGAGGTCCCCGGGCCCGAGCGGGCGCCTGTCGCGCGCCAGCTCGCGCTCCGTCGAGTTCTTCCTGTCGCGCCGACGCCGGGCGCGCAGCAGCGTGTGCCGCCGCAAGGTGGCCCAGGCGCGCGAGAAGCGCTTCACCTTCGTGCTGGCCGTGGTGATGGGCGTGTTCGTGCTCTGCTGGTTCCCCTTCTTCTTCAGCTACAGCCTGTACGGCATCTGCCGCGAGGCCTGCCAGGTGCCCGACCCGCTCTTCAAGTTCTTCTTCTGGATCGGCTACTGCAACAGCTCGCTCAACCCGGTCATCTACACCGTCTTCAATCAGGACTTCCGGCGCTCCTTCAAGCACATCCTCTTCCGAAGGAGGAGAAGGGGCTTCAGGCAGTGACCTGCCCGCCCCGCCTCCGGCGGAGACTCTGGGGGTGGCCCCCAGGAGAAAGCGGGGTTAGATTCTCCCAGAGACTCAGGAATGGATTGGCCTTCAGGGCGCAGAGCAGGAGCATGGCCTGAGAGACCCGAGGGCCCTCCGGGAGAGGGGAGGAGAAAGGGGAGACCCCTCTGCCTTCCCGGTTCAGCAAGGAGCTGCTTTCGGGGCTGCAGGCCTAGATCCAGCCCCTGCTGAGGTATGGCTGTGAGGTCAGGGTCTTAGACCACAGGCATTTGCAACCTCCAAAACGGGGCATGGGGGGAGAACAGAGCCCCCCCCCCCAGACGCACACCTCTACCCCCTTCCACCTCTGAGCAAGGGCTGACTTCCCCAGGACTTAGTGGGGGCGGCTGTCTGGGGAGCAGGAAAGCGGGCACTGACAATCTTTGGTCTCTGAAAGTATTTAAATGTTTGCCAAAAATGACAGCCCAACAACCAAACTATTTTCTAAATAAACCTTTGTAATCTAAGTGTCGGGTGCAGCAGTCAGTCCTTAAGCCGCTCTGGTGGAGGTACCTTCTAGACCCTCACCCTGCCTAAACTCCCCCCGGGGGGTGCAAGGAGGACACCCCAGGTCACCAGATTCCAACCTCCCCTCTTGCATAAGAAGGAGCAGGTCTTTTTTTTTTTCCCTTTAAGCGAAATGTTATACATACGAATAAGATATATATTCTCAAAGTTCTTGTGCTGTAACTGGCTAAGAGGCAGAAGAAATCAAGAACTCCCAAATTGACTCCAAATTTAGATTCTGTCCTCCCTTCATCTCCATCCCTGTTCCCCCCCACACTCCCACCCCCCCAACCCTCCGAATCCAGTGCCTGCCCTGGCCTGGCAGCCCCTCTCCAGTGGAAGGAGGTGGGGTTCTCACATCCAAGGCTGCAGCTCTGCCCCCAATAGCTGTGGGCCAGCCCCAGCCTCTGAGCACTTGGTGGCCTTGGCACTTGGGAGGACATAGGCTGGGTGAGATCTGCCCAGAAGCAGGTCTAGGGCAGTTGAGTTCACGGCAAGGCCCCAGTGCCTTACTCCAAACCAGGGGCCTTTATCAATTTCTTATTGTTTTGAATATTGAGGCAGGAAAGGCATGGGGGTAGGAAAAGCCTGCAGGGGGCTGGAGCCTGCCTGTCCCTTGTCCCCACCCCCTGCCATCTGATTGGCTTCCCCCAGTGCAGTCCAGCCTTCTTCCCGCCACACCCCACATTCAGTGTCTGTGCTCACCCGCACTGGAGCTTGAGGAGGGGTGGCTAGAAGAAGGGACAGTAAAGTATTGGCGTGGCCACGTCTCTCCAGACTCTGCCAGCCTCCCTCTCAGAGCCCAGGAACTCTGGGACAGCTGGAGTGGAGGGATCAGGGCCCTGCAAGGAGGTGGAGGCCTGCGAACACACATGCATGCACAAGTTTGGGACCCCTGCTGGGGACCATCTTATCCTGTGTCTGTCCCTCTGTGCCCCTCCCCCGCCCAGCCCCTGCTGGATCTCCGCCCATCTGTCCTTGGTTTGTGGTGGCCACAGCAGCTCTGTGCTGGGGAGGGGTCAGGCCTGGGTTCTGCCTTTCATCCCCAGGCCCCCACCCCCCGAATCAGGATCCAGAACAGGCCCCTTTCCTGGTCCACTTGCCAGGGCTGTCCCTTGGAGAAGCCCCACCTCTGTGCAGCTGCCAGGCCTCATCACCCCAGGGACACACTCTCGCAGGCCCTGTTCACACTAACCCATGTGGGCACGCTCACATCGGCAGGTACAAGAGCTGAAGCCTGGACGGGGCATCTACGTCAGAGGCCCGGCTCTGTCGCAGGATTGCTGAGCTAGCTCAGATAAACCCCTGCCCTCTCTGGGCCTCAGCACCCCTCCTGTGAGGTGAGGGGTGTTGTTGGAAGCTCAGGCCTGCCAAGCCTGCCAATCTATAGTCCAACCTACCAACCGAATCTGGGGCCCGAGAGGGGTGACCGTCCCTCAGATGTGGCACAACTGACCCTGGTGTTGCCTCTGAGCTGCAGTGGGGCAAGGACACCCCCCCCCAGGGCTCTTGGGGATGGGCTCTGAGTCTGGAATATGGCCCATGGAAGCCTGTGAACACACCCTGCTCCTTTTCTCCCCTGATCCCGGGAATTGCACCTTCCAGGGCTGTCGCTGGGGCTGTCTAATCCCCCATTCAGCCAACATGTGATCACCACCTGGAGAGCCTTTCTTTTCAGCTGGATAAACAGAGACAGAACCTGGCTTCCTACCCTGCTCTGGGGCAGGGAGACAGGCCCCGCTGTCTGCATCGATGAAGTGGGGACACTGACATCTCGCTGGGTACCCCTGAACACCAACTGCTCCCACTGTGGTCCAAGAACATCCTTCAGGGGTATTTCTCTGCTCTACAAAGTGGGGGCCGAGACCTCTGCCCACCTGTCCACGGCGGCCCATTCACCCACACAGTGGCTCTCCTATCTTCACGTCTACTCCGCGGTGCTCTTGTCAGCCCCACTCTGTGGCTGAGGAAACTGAGGCCCAAAACTGAGCATCTGGGCCACAGGTGTGAGGGGGCAAAGTGCACCATGACCCCAGAGGTGTCCGGCTCTGTGGAGTCCGTGCCTTGGCGCCCCGGCTCCAGTGTCCTGCAAGGAATGTCCTTTGGGCCTCGCACTGCAGAAGCACCTGACACAGTGCCTTCTGCCTGAGGTTTTCCTCAGGTTCAGGAGATTTCAGGAAAAAAATGTTTTAAAAGTTCACAAGAAGATCCTGGAAGGTGGACCCTGAGTGGGGGGCTGGGCTTGACCGCTGAACCTGACCCAATTCATTCCTGTATTTTAATTCAATTGCTGAGTTTGTAGGAAAGAAGGAGGAGGAAGAATAATCCAAAATATTCCCCTACAGCTCAGTATGGAATTAAAAAAAATTTCCTTGGAGAGGACAGGCTTGTTAATACTTGGGAAAAGCAGCTCCAATCTTCGAATCCTGCCCCCGGCTCTGGGGGTGGGGGCTGAGGGGCAGGGGAAGACATGTTGCCGTGGCACTTGCTGGCGGGGAAGCCGTCTTTCCCGGCAGTGCTGGCAGCCGGCTATATTTTTATATCACATCCGTCGACAGGGCTCAGATATTCCAGCACAGACTCAGATCAAAACACGGCGCCGGCAGGCCCATCTCGAGTCGGGTTGGGTAGCTGCAGCTCTTTGCTGAGCCGAACCCCAGCCCCCTGTCACTATCAGCCCCGTCAGCTCCCCACACATAAGAAGGAGGCGGGAGGCAGCCAGGCAGAAGGCGCCAGGGCCCCGTGGGCTCTGCCACCCCATGGGAAACACCACGGGCACCTGGCCACGTGCCAGCTGCGGCTCTCCCTGGGCAAGGGTGAGTGGCCTCCCCTGCTTGCCAAGGGGCATCTGAAGGGCACTTCATGGATGTGGGTGGTAGGGTGGGAGTCTGTGGTAGTGGAACTCTGGTCCTCGAGGCTGAGGAATCAGGGAGAGGGAGGGACCCTGGTGAGCGTCTCCACCCTGAGGACCCCATGTCCTTGCTCTGGGTCTGCCATAAGCAGCCAGGGAACCTCAGGCTACCTGTCCCCATTCCTGAGGGTCAGCCTCCCATCTGACCAGCTGGGTTGTTGAGAGCCTCAAATGCAGCTGGGGGCAAGGGGGTGGGGTGTGAGGGAGAGGAGGAGGAGGGGTTCGGGTGGTACAAGTGTCTCGTTTGCCTGGGTCTATTCCTAGCCTGACCCTGACCCCGTCTCCACCATCTGTAAAAAGGTGGCACGTCCTTTCCGGTCTAGGCCAGGGCAGGGCAGGGGTGTGAAGGCTGTGACTCCAGGCAGGCACGGTGCCATGCCTCTGAAAGCTGCCTGGGGAGCAGAGCCGACTGCCAACCCTGGGCCAAAAGAAAGCCCTGGGGACGAAATTGTATTTCTTTCCTGCCAAAAGGATTTGTGGCTGCTCCCAGTAAAAGCCTCGGGCACGATGGTATCATTATGTCATGATGAGGGCTCTGCATGCAGGATGGGTGGGAGCAGTGGCCCCAAAAGCCTGGTTTAAAGGCGCCCACTCTCATGGCTGAGCACAGAATGGACCCCGAGCTGCCTGGCAGCAGCAGAGAAAAGGGGAATAGGATCCAATACCAGCTCTCTGCTGCCAGCTTGATAGGACGAGCTGGAACCGGTGGGTCTGCCACTGGACCCGCCTGGAAAACCATGCTGGGCACCATTCCACAAGCTCCCATGTTGCTGGGGAGTCTGCCTCTAGTGGGGGTGAGGGGACCGGAGAGAACCCCAGTGGGGCAGCCACACAGCTCCCCAGGCCCAGCCTCTGTCACCAGCTGCACCGGACGGAGCCATTTCCTATTCACTCCACCTTCACTCCCAAGCCTGCCCTCCCTGGCTGGGAGCCTGGAGGGCTTTGGTGCATGGCAGTCACGGGGACCGTGGCCACATGGCCCTGATGCCTGCGGCCTCCAAATCAGGTGTAGAATGAGCGCTTGAGCCCCCAAAGCTGACCTGATGCGGGCCCCTGTAGGCCCTCCCAGCTGCCGTTGTCCCTGGACAAGCCCACGCTGCTGCGGATTCCAGGGGCAGGTCCTCCAGACTCGCCTGCTCCCCCTCTTCCATGCTCCCACCTCGCCTCGCCCCACGCTTGGCCCTCCACCAGGAGCACCTTTCCCGTCTTACCTGAGCTCCTCTCATGTGCCCCTCAGGCTCATCTCCAGAAATCCTTTGGAGTTGCCAGCCCTGCCCTCCCCAGGCACAGGACCCCAGGGCTGGGCCGGGTATTGCCCCCGCCCCCACTGCAGGGAGCCCAGCCTTGGGGGGGAGAGACTGAACACGGGGCAGTGTGTCATCCTGGCTCTGTGGCCAGGCACAGTGGGCCTCCCTGAAGATGCATCCTCTCCCACTAGGAAACCCCTAACAGTTCATCTACGAGTATGCACTCCAAACCCGAGAGCCACCCAGGGCATGTGCACTGTGCCCGGACACTGTCCCCAGGCTGTGCAGGGGACGCTGATATGGACACCCACAGCCGGGCTCTCAGCTCTTTGGGGAGAAACTTCGTGTAGCTCTGGGGCCGCGGGATTTCCCACCGCATGTGCAGGGCAGGCTGCTGGAGCATTTGCTCCTGTCAGTGGGCGGGCTTTCCCACCTTTTAATTAGCTCTTCCTTGACTGTGCGGCATCTAAGAAAACAGAAGGATCGGGAGGCGGCCATCAGAAGCGGGGCTGGACTCCTCGCAGGGCTCTGAGTGGGCGATCCCAAGGGGTGGTCCACTTCAGTAGCCCCGTCTCCCTTTCACAAGAGGCCCAGAGTGGGGATCGTGAGGACCAATCAAAACAGAGAGCAGGTGGGACTGCGAGCCCAGCAGCTCCAGCCTGCCCTCTGCGTGCCCGCTTTGGGCCCGCGCGCTGTGCGTTTGCTTCTCGTGATTCTGCCACGCGGTGTGGATGCTCCTATTTTACAGACGAGGAAACCAAGCTCCAGAGAGGGGGTGATGGGAAGAGATGCTGCCTGGAGGCCAGACGCTGGGCTGTTTTGAGTCCCTGGCCCCACCACACTGACCCCGGCAAGACTTCGGCCTCCATGTTAACGAGTCACATTTTATGGGTGAGAAAACAAAGTCTGGGCGTGGAGACCTCCGGGAGGCTCGGGTTTCTGGGTGCAGAGCCGGCTCGCCTGCCTTTGCGCTCATCTCCATCCCTCCTCCACTGTGAACACCCTTAGATGAACTGTTGTACCGATAAGACCAGACACAGCCCAGGAATCACACATCTCTTACGTTGTCTCATTATTTCTGATGTAATTGCACTCTAAAACCTCAGCTGCCATATAAAAAACGATGTGGATCGGGTGGCTTTGTTTCCCTATGTCGTCTTAGAAACGATTCCAAATCACCCCACCTAGGATCTAAAATGCCAAAATGTTTGCAGTGAAAAACAATTCCGTTACCCGCTTCCTTAGAGCGTGCTGCCATCGCAAATCGAATTTAAGACAAAATCAGTCCTCTCTTAATTGGTTCAAATGAAGCTGTTATTCAAAATCCGATTGTTGTTGTTTCCGCAAGGATTCAGTCGGAGGAAAACCATGGAGTGACCTTGTGGCTTTGGGCATCGCTCGGTGAGCAGCAAGGCCCAGCAGCCCGCAGCAGCCCCCAGCGCACTGCCCAGGTCCCCGCTGCCCAGGGTGGATTGTGATGTCCAGCCGTGGGTGTCTGGCAAACGCGGAGTAAGTGCAGGGTTCTAAATATGCCCAGAGAGGCCAGGAAATGACCACTGGCCAACAGTGCCCGGGCTGTCTGCTTCGGGGTCCAGTCCCATGGACGTCTCCCCCGGGACCCCTTTTGGCCTCACACGACCTCTCTGTCGCCTGGCACTGGGAGGTTTCTCTGGGTTGCTAAGGCAGGCTGTGCACTGTGACCTCAGGCTTCCTAAGGCCCCAACTGGTCTGGGACCCAGACTGAGTCATGTGAGCCCCTGAGCCTCAGTCTCCTTCTCTGGAAAGTGGGCACAGGCAACAGTGCCGGTTCCTCCCCTTCCTCCTCCCACGGCTTCTGTGAAGAGCTAGTGTGGGCCCTGGAGACCCTTGAACAGCTGTGAAACACATGTGTCAGAGAGCCTGGGTGGGCTGGGCGCTCCCCGTGGGCAGGCCTGGCCCCAGGGTTAGGCCCACGAGTTCTTCTGGGGCCTGGCCGCTGGGCTCTGGGGGTATTGGCCTTCCGAGCCCTAGGCACAAGGTCAGGGTGGCAGGTTTGCAGGTCCTCCTCTCCGCTGGCAGAGCCAGCCCCTTGGCAGAGGGGAGGGGCTCGGCACAGCCTGTGTGGCCAGGCGCTCTGGCTCTGTTCCAGCGCAGGGGGTGGGGGGCGCATTTGGGCCAGGCCACGGGCCTCCAGGGCCGTTTGCATCTACCCCACTTCACCTCATTCCAGACTCCACAGAGAGGCGGGCACACACTAGGCACTTAATACATGTTGGAAGAATCGGCTATAAACGTACTGAACACACAGTCCTGCCCTCAAGGTGCCTCCGGTCGGATGGGGATGTGGAGATCAATGCTGGGCAAATACACGGCCGGCATGAAGGGAGCAGGTCCTTTCCGTCAAACGGAGCTAACGACGCCGTCAGAATCCCAGGTCTGGGGTCACTGAGGAATTAGTGATCGTGAGAGGTGTGCTCCTCTCCCGCTTTCTGCTCCCAGGAGGAGGGTGCCCCTGGTATACTCAGAATCGTGGACAACTGAGCCTCAAAACATCCGGAGACCAGCTGGACCCATTTTTCTGGTGGGGAAACTGAGGCTCGGAAAGTCTCAAGCAGTTTTCTAAGGCCACCTAGCCACTCAAGGGAGGAGCCAAGGCCATGAGGTCATCCTCCTCCCAACTCCTCCTGCTGGCTCCCCCAATAATCAGAAAAGCACAGAGGGGGTTACAGGGGTGGGGAGGGGACTTGGAGGGGCGACTGCCTGGCCTGGCCCTGTGCCCTCTGCATTTGGGGGAATTAGGCCACAGGAAGTCGAGGGTTTTGTGGCAAGTTGAGCAGCACAGGCTTCAGGCTGGAAGAATTCCGCAGGTCTCATGTCCCCGCTCCTGGACAGCCTCCCAACCCTGGAGTTGCTCACCCCACCCCACCCCCTTGCAAACTTCTGGTGATGGAGAGCTCACCACTTCCCTGGGGCGATCCAGTCCTCATCAGCCCTGCCCTGACTTTTGGGAGTTTTCCACTTGATGAAGAGAGAATTTGCCTCTGGGAACTTTCAACCCTAGCTGTTAGGATAAACTTCCTGGGAAATTTTTGGGACCAGCAGAAAGTCGGCCAAATTCGCGTACGTGTCTTTCTCCCTCCCTTCTCACTTTCTTTCTTTAAGTGTGTTTGTGCTGGCTCTGGCCTGGGGGGCAAGATCAGAGCCCAGGGGTGAGTTCCCCATAAAGCCACTGGGGGCACACCAGGGTCAGATCCTGGGAGGAGCCTGTCTGGGTGACAGTGGGACTCAAATCCCAGGCAGCTGACCAGAGGGAGTGGACAGTGACCAGGGTGGCTGGGGTCACCTGAGCATCAGAGATGGAGTCACCTGGATGTCAGAGATGGGGGTCACCCACATGTGGATGGGAGTGAACAGGGGCCCCCACCAAGTTGTCTGTTGCCAGTCAATCATCCATTTTACTCATTCAGCACCAACTGCATGTGGGCACCTGAGAAACAGAAGTCAATGAGATTCTACAGGAATTTAATGTCCTCCTATAGTTACTGTTGTCATTATGGGGGAAAAAAACAAACGTTGATGACCATTTGTTTTTTTTTCTTTACATTTTATGTTTTATTGATGGTGACATATAGTTAAAATCTAATGCACATTAACTACCCATGGCCCCTTATAAATATTTAAAGTTCTTTACACAAGCACAAGTCGTACTGCAAAGTCATACCATAAACTAACTTTTTAGAAGACAATTTCAAAAACAAAATACATTAAAGATATCATAATTCATGAGGAGCTATTGAGATGGATTTTAACTCTGATGTTAAACATTTACATTACAATCCAATGTAGACCTTTATCAAGAAGTTGATAATTCTGGGGAGCCCTTCTGAGAATTTAATTTTCACATAATTCATGGCCAGATTAACGTGCCTGAAGTCCTGTGTTCTTACAAAGCTCATGCAGAGCCTGTAGGTGCAAGCAGGATATTATAAAGTATTCTTAGGTGCACAAACATCTTTTTAAAAATTTAAAGTATTGAGTTTGCCTTAAGATATATTCCACGAATTGACAAATAGTATCTTTTCATGTCTCCGCAATGTGGGTCTGATCTTGAAGCCAATCTACACGTCCTTGCAACCCTGCTCCTGCCGCGGTGTCACGAGCACAAACATGCCACGGCTTATCTTTGATGTTCTCCGAACACAGCGACTGAGACCCTTACAGAAGTCACCACCTCGCTAAGGTCCATTTTGCTTGCAATTAATATGACTGGTATCCAGCGGTGCTTAATGTCTGGGTGATTCAAAAGGGTGCCAGGTTCCCCTTTGGCCACGACCATTTTTAATCTATCACTACTATCAGTGACAAAAAAATGGCTCGTCCTTCTTCAAAATAGTGTTCCCAGAGATTTCTGTATCTTCCTTGACCTGACATGTCAAACACTGTAAAAGACACACTGGACAATCGGAATTTCTATGCTGAGCCCTAATGCGGGAACTCTATCTTGAGACTGAGCGTCTCAAGGATTACATTTTTTAATGGCTGTTGTTTCACCACTTGATCCAGCCCCAGGCACAACACAGGAGTTTCTTCCTGCTTCAGGCCAAGCAAGCCTGAAAGTCTGTCCAGCAATCCCATCCTGTGACACGAATATTTACAAACCAGCTGGTCTTTGAGGTTTGTTCTGCCCAGGAGCTGGTGAGGACAGGCATGGACGCACGCGTTCGTACCGTCTCTGGCATGGGAACCTGGTGCTTGCGTCCCTCGCCTTCATCTCTGTGCCTCGAGAGGAAGGATCACTGGCCTCGAGAAAAGCCGCACCTACAAGTTGGGTGACCTGGTAGCCTCTGATGATTATTTCTTTGAAACCCATCTATTGAGAGTCTACAGTCTGCCTGGGGACAGGTCAGCAAATAGGCAAACACAGC